AGAGCGGTTTGTTTCTGGTGCAGTCTAATGTTAAGGTCCTACATCCACTCTGTGTATAGACCAATGTGCTTTGGCGTGTGGCCTTCATCAGGGTCTGTTCAAGCCACAAGCCAAACCCTGGTGTTGCTTTGGTTAGCTCGTAATGGTTTGGAAGTCTGCTTTGGATTGTTGGTGAATGTTTGTATAGCACTTTAGGTGCATTGCAGCACACTCAAAGCACTTTTTACACATTCACACACCGGCGGTGCAGCCACCAGTAGCACCTTGGGCTTCCGTGTCTTCCTCAAGGCCACTTCAACATGTGGACCAGAGTAGCCGGGAATCAAACAGTCAGCTCTACCTCCTGTTGTAGAAGCCTTTACGCTTTCACCTGCATCCAAGATGATGTGACGTTTAGTAGAATCCGTGCTTCCCTCTGGTTGTGCACCGTTTCTTTTGCTTCTCTTTCTATTGCTGACTCAGCAGGGTCCCTGGACAGTAGCACACAGCTGTACCCCTAAATTAGCACTGATCTGTCAGATTCTTCCACTAACGCAGACTCTGTTCTGATCTCTACAGGTTTTGGACCAACCAGTCCGAGCCGCTCTGAGTGCGTGCGAGGGTGTGTTTGAAGGTACCATCTCTAACAGCAGCAGGTGGAAGGACTCAGAGGTGGGGGAGGGGGAGGAGTCGCATCGAGGTCAAGATGACGTCGGTAGCGGCGGAGTACGAACACATGGAGATCCAGCAGCAGTACAGCGATGGTGTCAACAACCGCTGGGATGCCGACGACTGGGACAACGAGAACAGCTCGGCCCGCCTGTTTGAGCGCTCACGCATCAAAGCCCTGGCAGGTAGGACGCCGGTGGGCGGATGTAACTGTAGGAATTCCTGAAGCTCTCTGGCACTTTGGAAAGTTGAACTGATCCGATTTGGTGTCTCATTGAAACACCTGACTGAATGAAATGTTGAATTAGTAACAGGGTTAAATTTGAACCAGCTGAATTGATTAGAGCTAAATTTGAGTTAGCTGACTCCAAAATGTGCTTTTCCAGGTTTCATGATGAGGAACTGTGGCTGCTGAGCAGCAGAGCACACAGGTCCTCCGGATTCAAGGAACTAAATTAGCTGAGCAAGCGTTAACAGGCTCATTTTATCTGGCCGACATTATTAATATGGATTGTTGACCCATGTTCAGATCTGCCGTGCAACTCGTATCTGTGGCTCAGCTTCATCATGGTTTTGTTTCCTCTGTGGGAGTCTGAATGGTTCCAGTAGCCATTAGTTTGCCCTTTGTCCAGTAGTCACAGAGTTTGCCTCCACACAGTCGTTACAACATGGACATCTGTGGTGTGATGGAGAAGGAAAATAGGAGCTTTGGATCTGAAGCTTAATGAGGACACTGATATGACATGAGTCTGTGCTGCAGACTGCTTCCTCTCCGGCCCTCACACCTGCCAACAACCCGGAGCTAATCAGTGCTAATGAGGCTCATTGATGAGCTTCAGCCTGCAGTCAGGGACACACACCGACACGTTAAAGATCTCTCCTCTCATCTGACCTCATCCATGGCAGCATGTGGCTGCTGTGACCTTTGAACTTTTGGTTTAGACCTCAGTAGACTGCAAAATGGAGTCAATCAATTCATTCCATTAATTAATTAAATCGATTAACAAGTAAACAGTAAACGCCGCTGCTCATGATGGAGCATCTGTCTGAGCCAATCAGGAGCCGGTAGTCTGACCTGTGGCAGCAGCGCCCCCCTCAGGTCACATGGTGTGAGTGGGACGGACTCGACGTGTGAGGTTTTGACAACCTCTTAAAAATCTATAAAATAGTATTTAGATATATTAATAGTGTAGCACTGCAGTAGTGTAACATGGACAAATGCAGTGTTTTTATTTTTAGTAACAGTTTATTTGAATAGCCCTAAAAAGAAAAGTCACAGCGTCCTTCAAAATAAAATCCTGATAATAACCAAAAGAAAAACTTATTACAGTTATCAATAAAAAATGTACACACATAAAGAGATGAATGTTAATGTTAACACCCTGTGACTGTGGATGTAACATAACTGTCTCATGAGTAAGAACAAAAGCCTTTCTGCGGCCAATGCAGGAGCGACGTGACATGTAGATTGAATCCGTCAAATATTGCTTCAATTAGTTGTTTGCTCTGAAATCGGATTCAATTCCCACAGCCTGAAGTCTTCACACTGCACTTTACTCAGTGTGATGTGTAACAGTGTGGTAAGTGTTTTATCATTAAATATCAAATGGTTTTCTTATGTTCTTCAGTTGTATAAAACTAGTAATATAAATTATTTTTAATAGTACTTCGTTTCTCACGGCTCCTTTCACCATAATTATAAGATGCTTTAACTAACAATATTCTCATTTTAACCTCTAGAGTCCCTGCGTCCTCATATGAGGACCAAAAATGCATATGAAACCAAAGCTCAGGACTCTAGAGGTTAAGGCAGAATGTTAGAGATGACTGAGTCAGTGCTGATTGTTGTTCACATGCTTTAGTGAGAGGTGTGTGTGTGTGTGTGTGTGTGTGTGTGTGTGTGTGTGTGACAGTCTCTGGCTGCTGTTTTCACCCTGATGGTCGACTGCTCCCACTTCACTGAATAATTAACACCAGTGTTAAATATGCAGAAGGCTGGAGCTCTGTGGGCGTTTGCTTTTACTTTAAAGGCGGAGCTTTCCTGCAAATGTTCAGCTGCTGAGAGAAATGATCATAATGTTAATGATACTTAAATACCTAAAATGGCATTTGATTAGGGAGGCAACAGTTTGACACAATTAATCTGCATCTTTTAAACAATGTTGACCAAAGTGCTTCACATGAATAACATAAAACAATAAATACATGAATATGGAAGCAACACAAAAAAAACAGGCGACATAAAACCATAATCAAACAGAAATCAGACTCCACTATGTGTAAAACTCTTGTGAAATCCATAAGTCTTAAGCAGTGATTTAGAAGTCGCCAGCCGCACATCTTGGTCTCAGCCGTTGGTGCATGTAGTGCTGGTGTGTTCAGTGACCTCAGGATAAGAGCTTGGTGTGCACAGAGACAGAGGTGCTGGAAGTTTAAAACCTGCTCTACAGGATTCAGACGATCAGTGTTGACCAGTAGTTTGTGTCTGATTAAAGCTGAAAACCAAACCAAGATGTACCAAAGATATAAAATACTATTACTCTACATGGTAATGGGAGCATAAAGGTAAAGGCACCATGACTGTAACTTTATTTTGGAGGGTTCAGTTCCTGTTTTTTCAGGGGTCCACATGCAGCCTGGAAGCCGCCCGGTGCCACAGTCAGATCTGGGCTCTGTCGACCAAATGGGAGGGAATTATGTTTTTCTAATGCAGCCGATGGAGCGCAGACGTCTGAATGTCCAGCTCTCCTCTTCCTCCTCCTCCTCCGTGAAGCCTCTTCCTGTACACGCTGAGCTCAGCAGGCTGGAGGATGTGTGGGGTGATGACATTGAACTAGCACTGTATTGGATACTGTGCGTGTGTGTGTGTGTGTGTGTGTGTGTGTTGGTCCTTTGTTTCAGCTGTCTACGAGCTGAATGCCAGATTAGCTAAATGCTAACTAGTGGTTGTCAAGTAGCTGAAGAAGTTGTAGTATCAGCAGTAATTTAAATACCCACAGTTTTAGCTGTTATATTTTATTTACTTTGTTGCTCATGTAACTGGGGCCGTGCACAGCACATTAATTGCACCAGTGTAGCTAAAAGCTCGTTTTCATATCGTGGAAATGACGAGTAACGGCCAGGTATGGTGGATTAAAACCTCACACTTTGAAAACCAGTTCTACACAGTAAAATAATAGGAAAGTCTGAAAACAAAAGATAAAAAAACAACTTCAAAACAAACAGAACAACAGAACAGCAGGAGGAGTTGTAGTAACAGGAGCAGTTTCAGTAGTATCACTTTCTCAGAAGTACCTGTTCTACTAGTAGTAGTAGTAGTAGGAAGTAGAAGAGCTTTGAATTGTTTTACAAAATAAAGGTCACATGTAGAAATACTGATACTAAGGCGGTGACATAATAGATTAAAGGAAAGACAAACTAATTTTGATAACTGATAAATTGTTTGTTTGACCTTTTAGCTGCTTTTCTCACATAATTATAACCTGAAGACTTTAAAATGATGGTGAATGGAACCACGACCACTGGGCACGATCAGAAATGAGATGGAGGCTCCTTCATTGTTTCAGACGTCCGTCGCTGACACCACCACATCTGAAAATGCTGAGACCTGAACACCTCCTGTGCTGTCAGCCTGTGTCTATGTGTGTGTGTACATGAAGCCAAGTGCGTTATGCCTCCATATGATATCCTGGGAAACACAAAACCTCCGGTCGCCATGGAAACGCAGGCAGATCTGCTTACAGTGAGGGCAGAGACAGAAGGAGAGTGTGTGTGTTTGGTGTGTGGCCCTCACTGATGGAGCTGCAGTAACCCGTGGTGTGTTGCTGCGTGTTAAGTCACTAAGTTGCATGTGTTAAATTTGAACTTATTTGTGTCCCACTTTGACATAAAGGCTTGTTTGTTCAGCATTAACATTAGGATCAACATCGACATTGTGATGAATCACGCCTCAGTGTTTGGATGTGGCCTCTGGCATCCATCGACCTGTCGGGACCTTGGCTGCGGCCCTGTGGCGTTTCTGGTAACTGTTTATTTTCTGTCCTCAGATCAGTTCAAAATAACCACAAAGAGGTTGTCAAGGCCATAACAGTCTGCTCCTAGGGCAGGAAGGCTTCCAAGCATCAATACATGTCCAGGACTGAGCCAGAAGTGCCTTCTAGTGTCTGATCCCATCTGAACTTAACAGTTCAATCACATAACTTTCCCTAAAACTACAAATCTTTGTTTATATAGTGTGCAACCCTGATAAGATAAGGATTAGATGAGATCAGTGCTCTTCACCGTTTCCTCCATGGCAGAGAAACTGGTGAAAGCCACTGCTGCCACAAATCACCTTGGCCATGTTATTTTCAGTGTGATTTGAAAATGTGCTGAGTTCCCCTGCTCATCTCGTGTCCCTTTCTTTTTCCTCCTCTGACCACCTGCTAGTCTGCTTCTGAATCTCAGCTGCTGCTGCTCTGACTCTTCGGTGACTCACTGCCTCGTTTTTCTCCATCTGCTCTGCAACTTGATTAGAAATCAGTCTGTTTTTAGTGTCGGTGCTCCATATATTAGGCAACATGAGACATTACAACAGGAGTGAACCACATTGGTTTGGACCTGTTCCTCTTTATTTCAGTAGCAACATTTATAAAAACTAGAAGCCCAAATATAAATGACTGCTCAGCGTGGACCACATTACACCAGCCTGTTTATTTAGCTAGCAGTACGCTGACATTACAGCGACGCAGCAGCGAGTGAAGGCTCGCAGCGCACACCGCTGTTTTATGGATGAACACTACAGACGTCTTGAACATCAACATGAACAGCTTCTTAAGGAGCCTCAGCTTTTCCCTGTGCACGTGAACTGAACAAAGCCAGTGATTTGATGTCGTCCTGGGCTGTAAGAACTTTGAATGAACTAAATTAAATGATGGACTGAAAAAATAATGAATAGACAAACCAATATGGAGTCATAAGAGAAGCACAAGTTGCAGGCAGTGCTAGTGAGTCATAGAAACTAGATGAAACCCGGAGGGAAGGCGATCTGATCTAAAGCGCCCTGTCACCGAGGGATATGCAGCGTTAAGTACTGTATTGGTATGTATTTGTAAATGGACAATACTGACCTCTTTGAAAATGTGCACTGAAGCTTTAAAGTGACGCCGACTGACTCAGCCACTCGATAATTAGAAGCAGGAGCTGT